AAAAAAAAAAAAAAAAAAAAATTCTGAAACTCAAATTCATTAGGTATGAGAAATAAATATTCTCTAGGAAGAAGTAGATACAACAACTTAAGTTTTTACTGTTTAATGATATTTTATCTGCCAAATTAAAAATGCCAATTTCATCTGTGAACTACCAATTGTACATTGATAAAAGTATGGGTTAAATAAAATATCTAAAAAGTGATTTTTAAAATCTGAATAGTCTAAGTATTTGTAGCTTTTAGCATTAAGAACATCTGTAGATTCAGATTCAGGTTTTTAAAAGACTGTCCTCAGATTCCATGTTGATTTTTTATATGTAATGTTATAAATTCTTTCTTAGGTAACTCATGAAAAGAAACAATGCCAGGGTTTGTATTTTGGAGATATTTTATTAGACAAAACTTAATGTTCTTCAATACTTATTTCATTTTCAATAGTGAGAGCAAGAGAAGATTAAGGTAATTACTTCTGATGATGTAGATGTCACAAAGTTAGTCTTCTGAAAACTTTACCTCTTAATTGCCCATCATTGATCTGGCATATTTTACTGGTTAAAATCACTATTGGATTACTCTAAATTTGGGGGATGAGAAATACCATGTGGGCCAAATCCTTTGGCCAGAAAAAAGTCACGTTACTGTTTGAAGAAAGAAAAGCTAATACTTTTCTCATTTCTACCACATAATAAAGATTGTGCCTTCTATGAAATATTCCACCACCACTACATCTTGAAAGTATTTGGAGTAATTTTAAGGGCTTGAAGATACAGTGATCTAATCAGTGGGGGAAAAAGGGGATTTTTTTGTTTGTTAGAGGAAGCCCGTTTGAAATATGAGAAAGAAGAATTGGAAAGACTTGAAATGGAGCGAATTGAGAGAGAAAAATGGTGTCAACTTGAAGAAAAGGTAAACAAATATTAGTAATGTTCTTAATGAGGACAAACTATGGCTGTCAGATTGTTGTCAGTTGATGTCCTTCTCAGCCCATAGCTACCAGTAACATAGAGGCCTAAATGAACTTATTCTACCATAAAGTAAGTGACATTATTCCACAATTCACAGATAAGGAAATAGAGAAATTAAGCAGTTGATTAAGTGCCAAGACCAGGACCTAGACCTAAGCCTTGCTTCAGAGCCCATACTTGGAACTGTTAAGCATGCATGAATCTGCTTTATAGACATTTTAATAGGGGCCATAAAATGTAATTCAGAATATTCAAATTCTACCTCTCCTGTGGTAGTTTCACTTCTCTTTTTCTAGAATCTTTTAGATGAGTAATTCTGAAAAGTTTTAGTCTTGGGACAAAACTCCATTAACTGATTAAAAATTGAAGATCCCCAAGGATTACATATGTTAGTATTTACTATATTAGATCTAGTGTTAGTGTCTGCCCTATTAAAAAAATGTTTATCATATTAGAAATTAAAACTGATTTTTTTTTCTTTTTTTTTATTGGACATTAACTATTAATAAAATAAAATGTAGTAAACATTAGTTAATACACTAACATTTTTAAAGAAAACCTTTTTTTAATTAGGTAAATGAATGGCATTGCTTATTTTTTTAAAATTTTAAAAAAATACCTCTTTAATACCTGACTTAACAAAAGACAGCTGGATTTTCATAGCTACAGCAGTATTCCAGCTGTTAGAATGTGTTGTTTTGAAAGAGGTATATGGAGAAAATCTGACTTCACACACATAGGTAGTTGGAAAAGGAGGAATATTTTAATAACCTTTCAGATATTTTTCTTTGATACTATACCAAAACTCAACAAGTGGTAGTTTCTTCTCTTTTTTTTTTTTTTTTTT